AACCTTTCCAAAAGCATTATTGTCAAGTTAATTATTATTAACCTATCGACTACATTTGCACCTATACTAGAGCAAACATGTGATTAAACAAATAATGATAACCAATGATCATTAACAACTTTCATAAGGTCATATTCATTATAACTGTCCAAGTGTTCCATCACATTACTACGATGAAGTCACTCAAGTCAAGTGCTCACTATCCAGGAGCGATGGCGATTCGAATCGATTTCTAACCAGCTGGTGATTTATTCCTTACACAAACCTCACTCACCCGCTAAAGTGAGGTATCGGTCACCGAGTCAACTATCCAGGAATCTCGAGTTTGCCAAGAACCACATGTACCCGGGGGCCGACCGACTGCTCTTTGGTCTTATCTTCGCGCCCCCGTGTCCTACCACACCTGCTCCGGCATAGTGCGCTGCGGGCAATCTACTCGGCCCGAATAATCTCCTAGCTTCGCGGTCAAAAGGTACTTTATTCGGCCAGCTAAATGTAAGGCATGCGTTCAACATGACCTGAGGCCCAACAACGATCGGTCCTTAATCGACACAGACGGAAAGCACTATAGTCCAAAACTCTGTAAGTTTCCGTCCGGTCTCAACTTCATTTAACACTTAGTTATACCATGACTACATAGTTCTCCAAGCAGATCCAGGTAACCACCTATAGCTCGCAGGTGATAGGAAATCACCCGACTTCTACCGGTCTAAGCCAGCTAAGCATTGACTCGACTGCGGATACCAGGGTAACAAGGATATAGTATAACAAAGGTAGACAAGGTATAATGCATCAACAGTTGCAAACAACTCCTGAACATAATGCATCAATTAAAGTAAAGCATTTAATTAATAATTGCAAACCGGGGAGAAAAATGCTCCGGGGCTTGCCTCTCTCAAAGGAGCTCGGGCAGTGATCGAGGCACTCCGGAAGTTTCTCAACGTCCTCCTTGTCTGCTTCGGCCACTTCCTGCGGCTACACCTCGAGTTGCTCCTCGGGCTCCTCGGGTATGACGACTGGGCTCTCAGTTTGTGATCCTATATGATGCATGTGCGTAAGTGCTTATGCAAAAGTGCATCGGATGAAATGAACACAATGGATATGCTTGAATGCAAGGTAGTCAACATCATCCAAGAACATATACTACAAGCACATGTCATCTACTGTATTCTCTTCTACTACTAATATGCTGAGTCAACACATCTCATTAAATACTTCAAAGATACACCAAAGCTTCACTAATTTCTTAATCACACATAAGGCAACATTTGATTAAACCCAAATTAATAATAGGTTTGAATAGCAACATCTATTTTTATAGCTTAGAAAAATCTTAGAAAATTACCATAGCACAGTGCTACCCTAAGTAGTCTATCATCAGATTTTTATGGCGTTTGGATAAGTGGAATAGCCTACACAAAAAAATGACAAGCTTGGACCTAATTATGAGCATGAAAATACTTTGTATTATGAAAAGTGTCAAACAACAGATTTACTATTTTTCCTAGGTTCTAAACAGTAAATAATCACTGTACAAAAATTATCACATGTATGTTTTATACAAATTTTGCTCTCTAGCAAAAATAACAAAAATCAGTCATTAAAGGCACTTAAACTACATCTCACAATTTTTCGACAGGACATGCATGGCATATATTTTTCCTAGGAAGTACATTACACAAGAAGAATAACACACTTGGAAGCATATTTTTCTGAAACATATAGGTTTTTACACACATTTACAAGATATCAAATATCAAGGATTAAATAAAGCTCTATAGAAAAAGTATCTTAAAATGACATGCAATATTTTTATCATGTAGATCTGGTGACAAGGAACTTAGCAAAATTTGTTTCAACAAATTTGGACCCAAAATGAGTACACAAACATTTTCCAAAGTATTTCTTTTCCCAAATAATAAAAGAAAACCGAAATCTATTTTTCCTATTACTACTGGGCCGGCCCGTGGGAACAACTGGCCCACGGCCACTTTTGGCCTGCGCAACCGAGCGAAGGGGAAGGACGGCGGTCTGGCTCGAGGCTTCGGCCCAAGGCCGTCCTGGCCCAGCTCGGCCGAGGCGAGACGCCACGCCACGCCGGCGTTCCAGGCGCCACGACGGTCTTGGTGGTGCCGCTATGAGCCAGCCGTCGTACATCGCCATGTCAAAGCAAGCGGCGAGGCATCTTGCTGCTGGGTCCGCAAGAAGGTGGCGAACCCAAGCAGGCTACACAAAGGGATGGAGAAGGGACGGGGGAAGCTTTCCACGGCGGGGTCAAGCGCGGCGGTGCCATGACCGACGACGGCGAAACGCGCAAGACCGCTATACCTTGCTCAAATGGTGTCCATGTAGTGAGCACCAGGTGCCGGGGAGCGAGGCGGAGCGATGTGTGCTCGATTGAGGGCAATGGTGGAGCACTGGCGGCAAATTTTTGCCGACGGGGCTGCGGTTGCGATGGCGGCGCGAGCGGAGCTCGATGCGGGGCGAGGCAGAGAGGCAGCGCAGGAGAGAAAAATGAGAGGCGTAGGAAGAAGCGGAGCTACGGTGGCTTGAAAACGGCGAGGCGCGCTTGCTTGCGGGGGCCACGGGACGCCACCCGGTCGGCGTACCCGGCATGCGCTTCACCACCTGGGCGCGGGCGTGCTCTGACGCCATCGAATCGTGACTGTGAGGAAAGAAAGGAAGCCAGTCGCGAGGGCCGGGCAGGCGAAGGCGCCATGCTGGGTGGATCGTTGGGGCGGCTTGCTAGCTAGGCTGCAAGTGAGGCGGCGGCCCGTGAAAGGAGAGAAATCATTTTTCAAATTCTATTTTCAAGAAATTTTCAAATATCAGTTTTCAAATATCCTTTTGAGCAAGAAAATGACTTCTTTTGAAAATGTCCCAAAAAGAAAAGTTGCTTAGAATTTAATCCTCTACAACTTTGCTTTAGGGACCAACTAAAAATTTTGCATAGATTTTGAATTGGGAAGCAAAAGCTAAATAGGGAGGATTTTTGACTATTTTCAATAAAAAATTCAAATGCATACTTTGTCAAAAGTTTGAATATAAACTTTGCTCCAAAAACTGTGCTAAATAATTCTGGATGATTTACAATATATAGCCAAACATGTTTTACTAACCTAGCAAGCATAATTAGGGCAAAAACAACTCTAAACAAGTGTATGCAACATTCATGTTTCACGAGCATGTTTCATATGTTTTGAAGCATGATTTTAGTTATTATTTACATAATTAGGCATGGATACTTAGGATGCTTGATGATGCACAATATGCATGATTTGCAGTGCCTAAATGCTGGCATAACACCGGGGTGTTACACGCGAAATCTGAATCGAATCGGACATCGCGAGCTGCGCGAATCTTCCAGTGAGTTGACCTGTCGTAGTCGCCGAAATAGAATGGTCTTCATGGTGATTCGAATCTTCGAGGAGACGACTTTGGAGCTTGCCATTGTCGTCCGCCTCGCAGATCCATGAGCCGAAGATGAAAGTTGATCCCGTCGAGAAGATCATGCTGTCGAGGTCCATCGAGCTCTCGGATGCAAATTCACCGAAGGCCCCTACCTGGCGCGCCAACTGTCGATGTTTGACCACCGATAGCCTGCCATGGGGTACCTGGGGAAGTATGTTCGGGCTTCAGCGTATGCGGAACTCGACGGTGAACGCAAGAGACAGTCGATTTATCCTGGTTCGGACCCTCGATCGCTGATCGAGTAATAGCCCTACGTCCAGTCGGCATTAGCCTTGCGTTGGATTGATTGTCAAGTGTTGTGTTGTCTCGTAAAGTCCTCCCATCCCTAGGAACCTAGCCATCCTTTATATAGTCAGGAGGTCAGAATCCTAGTCGATTTACAATAAGAGTTCCTAGTAGGATTACAGAATAATATTACTACTAAGATTAAATGGGAAGAATCCTAGTTAGACTAGATCTTCTCCCTTCCTTGCGGGGTATCCTGTGGGTCCCGCACCGACAGAAAGTTTTCAACTACAAATTATAGATTGTATTGAGAACTATAACTTTGGTAAATACTTTATCAACATCCGAGATTGTTCGAAAATTTTAGATTTTAAGTTTCAAAATCTAAAATATTAAAATAATATTTTGGGACTCAAATTAGTTTCAAATAAAGAACTTCTTAATTAGAAAGTTGTAGAGATACAATTTAAATATAAAGTTCATCTTCATAAGTTCGTATGAAAAAGTTATTAATTTCAAGAGATACAATGTGCATTGCACTCAATAGTTTCTCCTTGCTAGGCATAAAAATGAGAAACGTTTCTAGTGATTCTTGAATGAAACGTTTGTCATCTAACCCGCTTGACAGTGATTCAACCGATTCTTGCAAGAACTCAAAACGTTTCTAGTTGCCAAAAGAGATCTTAGGCTGAGCTGCAACATTGGTAGCAATGCAAAAATATATTATATCAAAATTCTATGTTTTTAACAAATATGTAGAGTACTGGTGAGTCCAATGCAAAAATAAAATGGCAGAGGATACTCAAAAGACTATAGAATTAAGTATTTCGACGTGCTAGCAAACTAGCAATACACATGCATTTTAGTGATTATTACACTATATAATAAAATAATAAATATAGGTGGTGCTTACCACTGTGGATTTTCCGGAACACACAAATCTCCATCGCCAAGTTCCAAGCGGGACGAGCGCGGCTCAAGCCGAGCGCTCGATGAAACGAGACCGACAAGGCTGCCGCCTGTTGCGTCGGCTCGCCCGACCGGACCCTGCCAACCAAGACGGTGACGGAGGAGGACGCCTGGCGACCTCGCCCTTCCACGTGTTCCCTTTTCGAGGCCGCCATCTCCGCCCCGCGCTTTTGTGCGCCAGCCGCCGCACGGCCCAACACCCGCATCAAAACCCGCACCTCGGCTCCTCCCCTCCCCACCAGGCACCACCAAGGTCACCACCGCCACCGCCGCCCCCAACAAGTCTCGCGCACCCCCAAACCCCCCGCTCCCGGACCTTCTGGAACCTTCCTCGCATGGCCCCGCCCCCCTCCGTGGCCGCCGCCTCCGATCGCACCGGCCCCGGCGCCGACGCCGGCGAGCCGTCCTCCCTCCGCCTCCGCCGCGCCCCCTCAGCCGACGCCGGCGACCTTGCCGACTATTCCTCCGGAGGTCGGTGGGAGAACGGCGAGCCGCAACCGCCGCAGGAGCAGCAGCAGCAGGAGGAGATGCTATACTACCGCGCGTCGGCGCCCGCCCACCGCCACGTCAAGGAGAGCCCCCTCAGCTCCGACGCCATCTTCCGGCAGGTGAGGAGGCGCCAATGCGTAGGCTCGTCGTTTGTAAGCGATTGCTTTGATCCCCCGCACTCGTGCTTCGATCCACGCCAGTTGCAAAGTCCTGCAATTTTTTTTTTGTTGCTTCCAGTCAATTCTGCCTCTGTTTTTCCTGTGTTCAAATCACACTTTGTGCTATCGGTAGCTTATTACTTGTCGGTTGCCGTCTCGCGTGCCCGGATGTTTATTGTGGGCCTGGCCTTCGGAATCGTGGAATTGTGCGCGTGTACTCGGACGGGCGCAATTCGTTTCGTGGGGGGCATATGCTGCTGCGATTGAGGTCGGTGTTTGCTTGTTTTGGGATCAGGGGGACCAGTGCGCCGGTGCCAGATGCATGCCACGCAGAAGTTGGCATCGGCCGGCTGAAGCAGCATACAACGAGCGTAACCGTTACCACTGGAAGAGCTTTTGCTTGTTGAAACGGATGACTGGATGAGCCAATGAGTCATTGAATTCATTGTTGGTGGTACTACTATACTGATGCGAGCAGTTGTTGGGACTAATAATAAAGCCAGATGCTTTAGATTCGGAGCTGCAGTGCTCCGCAGTATCAAATGCTGACTTTTCTAACTACGATGCGTGTTACATTGTTTGTACTACTTGGCTTTCCTGCTTGGGGCATTGCTTCTTGTTGAGGACCATATAACTGTGCATCTGCATACTGCTGTATTGGACCACTTTTAAGTTTTAACTGGTTAGCCCTCCATTTTTTAATAGGCATATTATTGGACAATTTTTATTGTCATTGACTTATTATTTTTGTTTGCTACTCTAGGAGCCCTTTTCCCAGTGTAATCTTAACAGGGCTCAAATTATGCTACAAACACATGAGATGTAATTTTTTAGTGATACTTTTATTAGATTTTGTTGTTTCTGCACCTACTCTAAATCTGTTTTGAAGGTAGAGTTTTAGATGGATGCTTATTTGAATGATAAATAATCCTCTGTGAGTTGCGTGAATATTTATACATCACGCTCCTCCTACACTGTTCCTGGGATTACGCAGTGGACAACACTTTCATAATTGAGTCCATGCAGCTTGATTATAATATCAGTATTCCATATGTCATTTTATCTTATAATTCCTTTAACTGAGAGTGAATCCTTAATTTTGTAAGCCATATTTCTTGGTTGCCATGGAGAATTGAAGTCCTGAAACTAAGCAGTTCTCCTGATTGCAGAGCCATGCTGGTCTTCTGAATCTATGCATCGTTGTTCTGATTGCAGTGAACAGCGGACTCATTATTGAGAATTTAATGAAGGTTTATTACTTTTTTTTTCATTTTCCTCACCTTAATTTACAGATCCCTCAATCCATCTCCTTCAGAAATACATCTGGTCTTCTTTTTGCGCATTTGTCTAGTGTAAATATGACACATTCCATGTTTTATTTAAATTTGCTGGTGCAGTATGGCCTATTGATAAGAGCTGGATTTTGGCTTAGTGCAAGATCGCTGGGTGACTGGCCCCTTCTAATGTGCTGGTAGATATTTTTATCATTTTTTTTATTCAGATGGGTTTCAAATAAGAGCTGTAAGCCTTACAGAAGTAATCAATCTGTGAATTGCAGCCTCACTTTACCAGTTTTCCCACTTGTTGCCCTCGTGGCTGAGAAGCTGATTAGAAGAAAGCTCATTGGTGAACATGTAAGTTTGTCTCATAGGATTGTATAGTATTTTTAGAGAAGTTCTTTTGTTATTTCTTAGGTATAAGTGTTGAGGATTGAATTTGGTATAAAAGTAGACCGTCCTCTATTCTGCATCTTTCAAGTGCCGTTTTACCGTTTATGACTTCTATACACCTCTTGCAGGTGGTTATTCTACTCCATATCATTATTACAACATCTGTCATTGTCTATCCAGTTGTTGTGACTCTTAAGTAAGCATTTCTTTTCTGCTTTGCAGTTTGTTTGGATGCATCTGCTTTTGACATTCTTTGAGCTCTAGTATTTCATGGTATGGAATACATTCAATTCATCTTATTCGTAATTTGCTGTACGTTGTGGTCTGGTGGCCAACTACATTATTGTGTCTCAAACATTTAATCTTTCCCTTTAATTATGTACTATACTGTGCGAATTGGATGGATAAAAGGTGGTACATAACACTTTTATTTAATTGTATCTGGTGATTCCTCTCTATAATACAACGATATGCAGTTCTCCTGCGTATTCGAGAAAAAAAATGTTTCTGGTGATAAAATCTCTTGCAAATGTTCATTTATCTCTAGCAGAAGAAATCCTTACTGTCTTACTCTAGCTTGATCTGTTCACTAACTGCCATCTAATTGGGAAGATTTGTTAGTCCATCAATATTGATGCACATTTTATTATGCAGATATTTTGTTTCTTTCATGTAGCTTGAAACCCTTTTCTAGCGTGAAGCCGATCCTTCCATTGTACAACAAAAAATGGACATATTCGTTCACATGCTTGGAAGTTGAATAAACAAACTGTAGTATTTCTGATGTTGATGTGCAAGTAGTAGAATTTGGCTGAGTCATTTTTATTTCTCAAAAAGAGGCATTAGGAGTAAGTTACCTTTTCATCGACTATATTGTCAGTGAGAGTGAAGAATGTTGTATGATTCATGCCTTATGCCGTTTAGCTTAAGTTTGTTATGATTGCCAAGAAATGTTACTTAAAAAGATAGTGTCTCCTGAATGAATTCTGGATTATCAGTTCAGTCATATTACAAAAAAATTTCAGGTGCGACTCAGCAGTGCTATCTGGATTTGTGCTAATGTTTCTTGCGAGCATCATGTGGATGAAGCTTGTCTCTTATGCACATACAAATTATGATATAAGGGTATTGTCCAAAAGTACTGAAAAGGTAATGCATTGACATGTTAATCTGAATCAGTTCAAATATTTTGTTGCCAGGTTGCACATTTCTCAAAATTGATTTGTTGACGATCAAACTTTTCTTAAAACTCCTTTTGGTGGCCAAATCTTTCTGAAGCTAGAATATGCTCCACTTCCTGTTTAAACTTCTTTTCCAGTTTCATTTCCTGAATGTTTTATATCTAGTTTCAATTTTTGCATACGATGAAATGTGGTGCCAATCAATTTATGTTACCATCAGGAGGGTCAAACATTTTCTTAGCTTCTCATACAGTGTTTTGTTACATAGGCTGACCATATATACTCTTAGGCAACAGTAGGCATATGATTATATCCCTATATTTTCATTTTTCATGGTAACTACTATTGCTTGTTGGCAAAGACACAGGTTTGGGAATTTTTTCAATATTACTTAGCCTCACTAACCATGGCTGCTTCTTGGTTCATATATAGAACCAGAGGTCTGCTTTTACAACTGGAAAGTAAAACAAACTTGCAACAACTAAAGTAGAGATGAGATTCTAAAGTGAAGATAAGGTGCCATGACATAGGCACTAACAACTACTACTTATCCTAGAGATGGAGCTCCAAAATATCAAGAACACAAGGCTTATTCCTTCATTGCAATTCTTATTTTTAGGGTGCTGCATATGTTGCGTTGGATTTGCGGTCATACAAGAAGAGATCGAGTTCGGAACGATGATATACGTGATAGATTAGGGGTAGCACCAATTGAAGAAAAGCTTGTCCAACACCGGTTGAGATGGTTTTGACATGTCCAACGGAGACCTCCAGAGGCACCGGTGCGTAGTGGAATCCTAAGCCAGGATAGTAACGTGAAGAGAGGTAGAGGAAGACCGAAGTTGACTTGGGTAGAGGCAATAAAAGGAGACTTGAAAGGATAGAATATACCCAAAGACTTAGCCTTAGATAGGAGTGCTTGGAAAACAGCTATTCACGTGCCTGAACCTTGATTGCTTCTGCTGGGTTTCAACTCTAGCCTACCCCAACTTGTTTGGGACTTAAAGGCTTTGTTGTTGTTGTTGTTGTTGTTGTAGGGTGCTGCATATGGAAATTATGTTGATCCTGAGAGTATGAAAGATCCAACCTTTAAAAGTCTAGTGTACTTCATGTTGGCCCCAACACTTTGTTACCAGGTACTATTCTTGGACCAGTGCCCCGTCTTTGTTTTTAATGTCTACATTCTGCATTTCTTCATCACATAGTCACATCTATCTAGTTATGCCAGTGACAAAACATGAATTTCCTGATGTCACTTTGGCATGTTATGCAGCCAACTTATCCTCGAACTACATGTATTAGGAAGGGTTGGGTGACCCGACAACTTATAAAGTGCCTGGCTTTTACAGGCTTGATGGGCTTCATAATTGAGCAAGTGAGCCTTCTATATTCCTTAAGTAACTTCTATTTATACAGAACTTTGGATTAAATTATCAATTTCTTCTATTTTGCAGTATATAAACCCAATTGTGAAGAATTCCAAGCATCCACTGAAAGGGAATTTCTTGAATGCTATAGAAAGAGTCTTAAAACTCTCAGTGCCAACATTATATGTATGGCTTTGCATGTTCTATTGCTTTTTTCATTTATGGTTAGTATATCTTGCTTCAGTTCAACAGTACCTTAAATTTGTTAGATAGTGATTGGTTTATATAATAGGTCAATTGGGTTTTGACCTGCATTGGACCTTGATATTTTGTTTTCCATGGCTTTCTTGTTTGCTCTTTTGGTTTGGTTTCAGGCTGAACATTCTAGCTGAACTCCTCTGTTTCGGTGACCGTGAATTCTACAAGGACTGGTGGAATGCCAAAACTGTTGAAGAGGTGGGATGCCTGTTAAAAGCTGAGTTCGTTTCTTTCCAATTGAGAACTTTAAATAGGACTGACATTAATTATATTCTCATGCACTTTAATGCGATGGTATTTTGGGGCTTTACCTCAGTACTGGAGGATGTGGAACATGGTAATCTTCTTCTTACTTCCATCTTCAGATTGTATACCCTTTCATTTAGTTGAGAATTCCTTACTTAAAGAAGGACAGTTGTGATGTTAGTGATACTCTTTTATTTAGTGGAGACTTCCTTACTTAAATAAGGACAGTTGTGATGGTAGTGACTGATAACCGCTGTCACTGTGCTCGAGATATTTTTCTAATTAATTGATATTGATATACTCTGAGTAACTGACAACTAGTCTACTTTTTGTTAGCCTGTTCATAAGTGGATCATCAGACACATATATTTTCCATGTATAAGGAAAGGCTTTTCCAGGGTAATTGCTTCTATATCTCTACAAAACTTTACATTTGTTCTTTTTTGCTTTTGAATTCTCCAAATGCAGTTTAGTTTGAAACAATTACTCAATCCGTCTATGCAAAACAGTCCCAAAGTAATATCTTTACTTTCCACATCGATGCTAATATATCGAATTCACGATATACAAATGTTGTTCTTTAGAAAATGGGGAAGGGTTGGACAGAGTATTAGCACTCAATCATCATAATAATGATGAAGACAACTGAACAAGTGGCTGAAACTGTTGTGAGAAAATCAGAATAGTACTGGTCAAGAGTTAATTTTCATTACCAAATTGATTTACTATGCAAATAATATTTACTGGAAACAAATAGGGAATAAGTTTAGAAGACTGCTTGGATAAAGATTTTAAATAAAAAACAAAGGATATCTGGTATTGACTTAGCAACAATTTCTTCATGCTGCCTTCTGCCGACTGACTGATGTTAATTAGACAATGTGAATACATGAACATACATAAAATTTTGTGGATATTTTTCATTTTTGCAGAACTGACATGATTTTCTCAGTGCCTACTTCTCAAATTCATATTGTATCTACACTGCAGGGTGTAGCTATTCTAATCTCGTTTCTGGTTTCAGCTGTATTTCATGAGGTACTGAAGTTCTTCAGAAGTCTTATTATGTAACAGTATATACTTAGTTTATGGTCGTTTCAATTTCATTTTTCCTAAGACATGCTCTTGTTCGATTCCGCTCAGCACATTACCAACAATACATTTGACCTTTCGTATGCACGCACAATTTATTATCACCACATTCCTTTTTACATTGTGAATTCGCAGATATGTATTGCGGTGCCGTGCCACATTTTCAAATTCTGGGCATTTTCTGGGATCATGTTTCAGGTATAGAAGTAACACCAATATGAACTACTCCCTACATTCCAAATTATTAAGTCATTCTGGCTTTTATAGATACATAGTAAGAGTTACGTATCTAGAAAAGCTAGAATGACTTTTAATTTATTTGGAATTTGGAATGGAGGGAGTACTACGTATAATCCTCATATCCCTGTTTTTTCTTTTGAGTTCCATCAGTGTCTATTCCCTTACGTTTTGATATCCATCATTGCATCCATAAGAACAATACTACGTCTTGGATACAATATGCTTTCCATTGTTTTCACATAGGCTGACACCATTGATGTCTGACTCAGATACCGTTGGTATTCGTGACAAGATATCTCCAGGCCACGTTCAAGAATATAATGGTACGCTGTGTCAATTATGTCTTTTTCATTGCCTTTTCCCACTACCTAACCATCATCTTACTTGGCAGGTGGGCAACATGATATTTTGGTTCTTCTTCAGTATAGTCGGGCAGCCGATATGTGTCCTTTTATACTACCATGATGTCATGAACAGGCAGACCCAGGCAAGTAGATAGTTCGGCAGAAACATGTACTTTAACACAAATTATCAGAAGCAGACTGGAGCGATGCAGCAGGAAGCAGCAGCAGCAGCAGCCCCCTTTGCCATTGTTACCATCAGCTTGCTAGTCAGCTTGCAAATGCTCCCATTCCAGGCGGCCGTGCTGGGGATGCAGCATGTACATTACCAGCGATGCAACGTCAACGGTTATCAAGCAGTGCTTATGACATGTGGACTCTGTACACTTCAGTCTATATGTCAGCAGTGCTGTGTGCATAATGTCGTGCTAGATGTATATGTCCAATGTATGTCACGATTTGAAGTCAAAATGAGCTCCCAAATGAAAGAAGGCTCACGTCGATACACTTTCATAGAACAGACATGAAAACCTGATGAACTTGTTCTGAGCCCTGATACATGGCTTCATGTAACTTGTGATCTTGTCACGTCGTGTACTAACATTGCTTGAAGGAATAACGAATCAGCATCCCTTTTAGATGTGTGTATTTTCTTTGCGGGAGGGCATAACGAGGATCATCTAACTGTTCATGTCACACTCCTGTTTTATCCCGTGACGTGGCATCTGAATGACGGACACTGCACAGATGGATTGGGATTTAGTCCCTTTTATTTGAAATCATTTTACTGTCATGTATCTGTTTTGAGCAACCTTTATTTTAGTTCTTGCCACTAGTCAGTTATGGAAATGATAAGCCTAGTGGTTCAGTGCGTCTTAGGGAAATGATAAGTACTGCAGTACCCCTGTCCATTATGATCGTCGATTGGGTGTCTTTGCCATACTTGCATACAGTTGAAGGCATGAATCGGCCCTTACTCATGGCCTCAGTTATGGCGGCTTGGTCTTGCGCTTCGCGTGAAAAAAGTTATATCTTGTTTAAATTGTCTTAGGGCCCGTTTGGATCCCTGGAATTGAATTTATTCTAATAATTACAATTTAGACATAGATTAATTAAGCTAATATAGTCGTATATGGAATATATTTGTATATTTATTGTTAGGCATACAAGGGATATATTTATATGTTGCATTTCTATTGTAGAGAAGTGAGTTGAAAAGTGTGCTATAAGTTGAAGAGTAGAATTATATCATAGTGATTTATATAATCTATTTCTATCTCCCACCCTATGAATTTGAGATAGGCTTATTTGTGAGTTTGAAAAAGTTATGAAATATTAAATTTCAAGCCAAATAGACTAATTTATTAAGTAGATTTCAATTCCTCCAAAATGAAGGGATCCAAACGGCCCCTTAGAATAAACATTTGGAATCCTTACATTTGTGGACGTTGATACTGGGAGTTGGAGAGGGAAAAGGAACTTTCAAAACGCTCTTGGTACAGAGGACATGCAATTTGGTGGTTACAGCTTACAAATGTCTTCCGGGACAGATTTCTTGAACGAACATTTTGTACTCTCGATTTTCCTTGCTCAGATTGCCAGGAAGCTGAGGTTCCGCTCAATTATTGTGGAAGCAAGTAACTTGACAATCCAATCGATGCCGGACGCAGAACTTACATACTTCTTGCAAACAGTCCAACGAGCCCAAGACATCAGAAGGTCATGGTACTGCATTCATCCCTGACTTCTGCAAAGAGATCGGAGTTCATGTACCGCTCGCCACCACTCGGTAACATGGTGACAATCATCTTCCCCTTGTTCTCGTCCCTGCCAGCAATCTAGCAGGCAGCAGGCTCACGAAAATCAGCATGTTCATAGTACCAGAGCAGCCTGTTCAAATCCAAGAGGAGTACACCACTTGCTGAGATTCGAGCATTTTACCTTCAGGCAAGCAGGGACGTTTGCACCGGAAGATATGCCGCCAAGTAGCCCCTCCTCCTTGGCCAGCCTTCTTGCCATCACCATGGCTTCCTCTGTGCTCACCGTCACAACCTCATCGATGATTGAAGTGTCCAGGACTTCGGGTATGAAACCTGGCCCCGTGCCGTGGATCTGGTGTTTCCCTGGCGCACCACCTGCTCAGTATAACAAATGTGTTATCATGTAGTACATAGACAGAAAGTTGGGTTATTTGTGAAATTACTGCATGAACCAGTTGTTGGTTTATCTGTCCAGTTCTCTCAAGCAAGTATAGATAGCTGAAATTACAGAGAGGTCATGTGGTTACCTGAAATTACAGCACTTTCTGCAGGCTCGACGCACAATATATTTACTGATGGATTTTTCATCTTCAGGTACCTTCCTACGCCTGTCAATGCGCCTCCTGAACCAACTGACACCACAAAAACATCCACTTTGCCTGCCGTGTCCTTCCATATCTCGGGTCCTGATGTTTTCAGAAAATGACCACATCAACTGTATCAATCTATGATACCCAGGACTAGTTTCCAAGACAAAATGGATCTTAACTGAAGATAAAGTTACAGTTGTTATTGCAAAGATAGCCTTTTTTGCGTCAAAAAAGAGAGACTTTTTTCCTGATATTAGTACCAGTCCATTTGAAGTGTGCCTCTGGATTTGCTGTGTTAGTTGCTTGATTCAGAAAATATGAATTTGGTATGGTCTTAAGCAGCTCTTCCACCTTGTTGACCATTCCATCATACCCAACTGCAGGATCTGCAGCAAATGAAAGACAAGCATTACTTAGAGCTTACTACTGGAAATTTAACCTGAAAATGTTCTGTAAGAGAGAGAACAATCTATAATATAACTAGGAAAGCACAAAAAAGAGGAACAAATGTCAGGGAATTCAACAGAGAATATCATTGAAATAAAAATACTGCATGAGGCACTTCTTTCCGGGTTATTTTTATTTCTAGTAGCCTGAGATCCTACTTCTCACCTGTTAGTACTACTTCTGCGCCCAAAAATCTTAACAGCATCTGTTTGTCAAGTGAATACTTAGCCGGCATAACAGTAATGAACCTGTAGCCTTTCTGGACAGCAATGAACACTAATCCAATACCAAGGTTGCCGCTTGTTGGCTCAATCAGGGTCGTAACTCCAGGCGAGATGAGGCCCCTTTCCTCTACATCTTCAATCATTCTGCAGACAGGATCCACTCATGTGACTGTCGAGGTCATTTCTAATACCAGCAAGGCTTTTATGGTCATTGTCTATAAAATGAAAAATACTAGCATGGTCTTCACAAAATTTACAGGAAAAATAGGCCACGTATTCATTAACTATATACAGCAACATGGTTGGAGTGTATGTGGGTTTAACACACCGGAGAGCATTCCTGTCCTTAACCGAGCAAAGGGGTTGGTATGTTTCCATCTTGCCGACCAGCCGTGCTTCTATGCCCTCTCTTTTAGCAACGTTGTTCATTTCTACCAGTGGCGTCCAACCTATCAGATGAACACAAGCAAAAAAAAAAAAAAATTGCTCAATTCTGCCGCTACTTAAGAATCAGACAAACAAGGTGAGCAATTTGAGAGCACAGATAAAGGAGAGAAACTCCAGCATGCGCACAGCGCACCTGGGTGATGTTGGAGGCAATGCACTCCTCCCCGGGCTTCGAGGACAGCAGGGACGGGACGCCTTTCCTCGCATCGTCCTCCGCTACCATTGCCGCCTTCTCCGATCCTCCTGCACTGGACGGTTGCTGCTCTCTTGTCGTCGCTGCTCCTGCTGGGAGATCAGCAGTGGCGTCCTCTATTTATTATCCTGGCTCGGGAATCTGGACAAGTTCCATTGCCGGAGCCTTCGCCATCTCTCTCTCTCTCTTCTTCTTTTTTTCTTTTTTTGCGACTAGCCTTCGCCATCTCCTGACAGCACGCCTCAACATCCGATAGAAAGTGCATCAGGATACAGATTGGCTTGTGATTGTGACATCATAAATCTTCCTCTAAACGGAATGACCAAATGAAGGCACGTTGCCGAAAAAGGATACATATATGTATCCATCCACACACCGGGCTGTTCCACGAGGCTCCTAATTAATAGTGATGATTATTGACATCGTCGTGGTCCAAAGGGAATCGCAAGAGTCTTCCACGACCAACCAAAATCCCGGTGATGGCGCATTGGCACCGTTCCAGTCAACTGTACTGAGTACTTGTGCAGGCAGAGCGAGGGGCGGCGTGCACTAGTGGCGGTGGCCTCACGATCACGCAGATGCTGAGACGCAGCGTCTTGGTGGAGCGTAGCCCTCTCGTGGCGGGTGAATCACACTGACCAAAAGACTGTGACCCATCAGTCGATCCCATGATGCATATCATCTCTTCGCTGTCATTTTGTTTTTCCAATCCTTTTCTTACTCTTAATATGAACTTACCTATTTCCTCAAAAAAAAAAAAAAGAACTTACCTACGGCTAGATGTTTGTAACCAGCATCTCCAATTCAATATGGGCTCGCCAATTCACCAATCAACCAAACTGAAGGCGCAAAAAGGAAAATCTAGCTTACCAGCAGTATGTGTAACGATCTATTCAATTTAATTCATCGCATTAATTATATTCCGCTTTCAGTTTGTCAACTCACAGGGAAAACGAAAAAGTTCCTTTTTTTTCTATCTTTGGTCTATTCTCTATTCACTCTAGTAGTATCAAAAGAGTTGTTTTTTTCTATTTTTGGTCTCCTATGTGTAATCTTTGCTTATATTTAATCTTACCCATTGTATTTTAGTTGGTATTTTAATCATTAACCACAGATTTATTTACCGAGGAAATACAAACGGATAGATCCTCCCAATAAAAAATAAATTTAACATCAAAGTAGACACAATCAAGTACATTAAACGGGTCAGAATCATAGCCAAAAAAGCAAATGGTACGAGTTGCAAGGGAGAGCAGCATGTCTCCGCAGTGCGTCGAGGCTTAAACGTCATTTCACCTCTGCGTACACCCCAATGTTCAGTTTCATATTTTTTCTGTAGTGTTTAAGCATCAAATAATGTGTCCCTTCTAGCAAATAAAGAAATGAAAAAAGTTCTCTCTCTCCTATTAAGCAACTTTCCACTCGCAGACCAAAGCAGAGTGAGCCAGCGAAATGATTTTTTTTTATTGACCAGGCCTCGATGCCTATAGAGTCGTGGACGCTGGAATTTTTGGATCAAGCCTCGCTCTGCACAATGTACAAACCGATGATTATCGGTGAGAACTTGAAGCATCGTTTCGGAGGATAATAATGTGGGTGCTTTAAGGCCATATTCCCATGTGTTTCTTGTATGGGCTGAATTCGTGAGCGCAAATAGGTCGTACTAAGGCTATCTCCAACAACAACACTCAAAATACAAGATTTATTAGTCTTTTGGGTAGCGCTACAGGCAAAAGGTTCAATACATATTTGACATCTTCTCCAACAACAAGACCCAAAAGAGAATCCTTTATGCAAATAGGTTTCCAGGACAAAGGATGCTCATATTTAGATTGTGTCTCTCAGGCAACCCAAAATAGGTCTTCCGTATAGGTACTCTGTTAGAGGCTGATTTAGGATCTCTTACTATCCATTTTGGGTTTGGTTGTCCATATGAGTTCTTTGTTGGAGACAGTCTAACCTCAAGCTAGAGGCACCTCCATTGAGGTTCCCATGGCCCACCACACAACCACCATTGGCGCGGTGGAGTCGGAGGCCTGCAGCAGCCTAGGCGCAAGTAACATGGACATGGCCATCTTCATAGCATCTACTCTGATAGTGTGAGCATAGAGAGATAACGAAAGCATCGAAATTAGAAAGCTAATTACTCATAAGTATTTTGTTGAACACCTTCTGTGTATATAACAAAACAGACTCATAGTATCAATTCTTCAAACTTGATGTTGTCCAAACTTCACAATAAGAAATATACTTACAAAGATCAGCACACTAACGCATCAATCTCCATCATCAACGTATCAAAAAATCCATGTATGGCAAGATAAATACCGAATCTCAACCATACACTATGTACTTGAACAAAATGGAACCAACAACAAGCAGGATAGGAATTAATCAACAAGTACAACAAGATAAATATCAAATCAAGTATAGACGTCAAGATTTACGTGGAAACCTCTTGCGTGGAAAAACCACGAGCAGCGACGAGCAAACAATCCACTATGAAGATGAAGAATACAAGTGGTGGGAGCCAACAAGGCTGGCGAGGCTTTTAAATCCCAACAAATTTCACTTTCTAGTGGTGGATTTGTAAGATCAAAGCCTCATCCCTGTCTTTCAAACCCTAGCTCTCTTCCCCCTTAAAAGCAAATGAACAAGACATACATAGGAAGGAGAAATAAGCCTCAAATGATGTCACGAAAGCTCCAAGATCACATAGGCATCCAAATTGAAGCAATTGTTGCCCCCTCTAACCACCTGCTCCCAAAGTTAGCATAACATGTTCGTATACAGTACATAGAAAAGGCTAATGTGAATGGACAACGGAGCAACAATTTAAGTACTCACATCTGAGACAGGCCACCTTAGAGGGGAGGCAGCGCCGGAGGGATTGAAGCCAAGAACTAAGTTTGGGAATGAGTGTCGATGATCAACACAACGACACAAAGTTGATCTATGATCTAAGGAAAAATTGAGAAGGAAAAAATTAAGGAAAAAACGTTCTAAATGACTAGGAAAAGTAGTGACCGATATATGAATTCATGACACGCGAGCGGACGCTAGACCGAGTGGCTAGCCGTCTTGCGTTGTACCCTCGCGACCTAGGTTCGAGCCCATGGGGTGTGTTTTGTTGGGCGGAGGCGCAAAAAATCCCCTCACCTGCTCCATGCCAAAGCACAGGTCTAAGACCAGCCCAATCTCACGGTAGCTATGGTACCGCTGTGTATGGGTAGGAGCAAGAGTTTGGAGGTTCTCTCGACCTACGTAAGAAGATCTTCTTTTTTAGCATAATGCCGATAGGTTGCCATACCTCCTGCGGGTCGATTTTTTTTTTTGAATTGATGACACAGTACTAAATTACATGTGTGCAGCCCCGATGGAGATCAATCTCTTCAGGGGTGGCACGAGGAAGCACGGGGGAGGTGACCTAGGGGGCGCTTTCGAGTTTGCATCAACACACACACACACATATATATATATATATATATATACACACACACACTTAAGAAAACGTAAAATTACTTTGGCGGTTCGCACTAGCACTTAAAAAAATGTGTAGTTACCTTGGCAGTCTGACTTAGCACTCAAAAATATACATGAATTGCCTTTGACAGTTCGGACCAGCAGTAAAAAAAAGTGAAATTACCACGATTTGTCATAGCACTCAATAATATGCATTTTCTTAGATGTTTCATACACCCTAAAAATAATGATATATTTTTAGATGTCGTTTTCACCCCTCAAACAAATTGTATCTTGACAGTTCGGAGTAGCACTTAAAAAATATTAAATTACCATAATTTGACTTAGCACTCAAGAATATGAATTTTCTTAGAGGTTTCATACACCCTCAAAATAATGATATATTTTCAGGGTTCACTTTCGCCCTTCAAGAAAATTGCTGGCTACTAAGGATATTATATTTTCTAGTAGTATATGTGTTTTCAATAAGAAGAAAATGTACACCTAAATTTAAATTGAAGAATACACTTTCCAGACAATGAAAACCTAGATGGCTCAGTACACGAATACACTTTCCATACAATCAATTGGGTTATATACTGTCTTATTAAACATTATTTGGAAAAAAAAAGTGTGCATTGTCATGTCTCACCTGCAAAATCCAGCAGGTTCGGGAAACAGCTAGCGTCCGGATGTTCGGCGACAGGGGCGCATCTGGACGCTGCCTGTGATTCCACCCATCCGATGAAATCAGTCCGCAATATAAAAACGATTCAAGCGGCGCGTCTGTCCCTATGTAATAGAACGGAGCCTGCGTGTCACTCACTGCGGCCCGTCCCTGCCGCACCCGCCATCCCTACCGTGCTCGCGGGGATGACACATCTGAAACACTTGCACCATATGCAACATCCTAATCTTTTGCAATATTTAGATGAAACACTTGCAACATCCGATGACACATCTGAAACATTGAAAACAAACGCTTGCAACATGTGCTTTCGGCATGATGTCACCTTGTTGCTTGGACGAATGGACGCTCGTCGTTGCGCGGAGGTCAACAACGGCGCATGGAGCTCGCCGGTGCAACAACGGTGCGGCCCTCCTACGATTAACGCTGCCCGTGGCCTAGGCTCGTGCCCATGGGCTGCGGGCCTGTTGATACTACTCCAGCGCCGCTGCTCGCTCGGACGCAGTCGTCCAGCGTCGTCCGCTCGGGGGGATGGGGCGCGGAGCGACAAGCCATGGGTTGCGGCGCGGTGGGAGAAAGGCACGACACAAATGGGGACGGGAGCGCGGCCGGATGAGCAGCCTAAGCCACGACTGTGGGGATTTTTATTTTCAGAGGCCGCTCCGCTACGGACTGGGAGCCCCGCAGCATTCCCGTTTAAACTTGCACTAATTTCTAGCCGAGGAGGAAATCAGCCACCTGCTTATTTACGTACTAAAAAACTGAATTTATTCCTCCAGTCCAAACAAATACAGAATTGATGGGAAGGCCGCACACGGCCGACATGGATGATGCACGGTGAAGAACATCCATTCTGTACTTTTCTCGCAACGAATCTACGTGCCTGTTTTTTCTGAGCTTATCAGTCAGTTAATAGTGTTTTTCTCTCACAATAAATCAAAGACCGCCGGACTTATCAGCCTGAAATCGACCAGCGAGCGTAGTATACTGTACGGAGGACTATTCCGGATGTTCCGTGTGGGCACGCACGCACACGTACGGTCGATTTTCACTCCGAATAGGTGGAGCCGTGTCCCAGAGGCTGCGCCGGCGTGAGGTCGCCGCCGCCGCCGCGGAGGAAGCCGGCGTACCATCGCGCGGAGGTCCGAGCGTACATCGTCCGGTCCTCGGCGGCGAAGTCGACACCGTAGAGGCCGAAGCGGAACCTGTAGGCGAACAGATACTCGAACACGTCCATGAAGGACCACACGAAGTAGCCGCGCACGTCCGATCCATTCCTGACGGAACCGAGCGCCGCATGGATGTAGACCTGCAGGAAATGGGCCCTGAACCCGTCGTCGTACAGGAAGCCGCCGTACGGGTCCGGATCGTGCCCAGCTCCTGGTGGTGGCCGGGGGGTGGTGGCCAACAGGCCAAACCAGCTTCAGGTGAGGCGAAAGAAACTGTGCGCGACAGGTGAAATTAGGAAGAGAGGAGAGTTTGGCTGGCCTCACCGTTCTCGTGGATCATCACCGGAGGGTTCCCGTACTGAATCCGCAGGTGTTCCAACACTTTGCTCAGAGCCCATGGCGCCTCATTGTTCCGCAGCCCAAGCTGAGGCTCCTGCCTGCATTGTTTGCACGCACACCACAAGAAATTGAAATCTTTTTCAGTTGCCCGCGAGCTGAAGCGACAGGGATATGTCTGTCTGGGCAGGAGTTTGAGTGGTTTTTGTGTGAACTCACCTGGTTCCTTATTACTGTGCTCCGAAACGGTACTGCAAAGTTGTAGTGGTTGTTATACGATAAGAACGAAAGAGACTACTGAAGTCGCAAAGTTTGGGGATCAAAGCAGGAACACAACTAATAGCAAAGGCCTGAGTTGTTAATTAGTAATTACGTGTGACGAAGTTGATAGCGGCGTCGCCGTAATAGTCTCTCAGGTCCCGTTTGAGCTGGCCCAGGTCTGCTTCAACCAAGAGTGCACCGTACTGGTTGATCCCAACGAAATCAGTTGTTTTGTGGTTAGGAGTGCAACAAATTCAGTTGCCTGACCTGCTAGTGTATCTTCTGTATTCATCACTGGTTTAGAATAGGATGAGTTTCAGGAATACTCGTAGTATTTATATATAAAATTCACCATCCAATTGTGAAGTCATTTGCTCTTGCAGCTGCTTGTACATCCTCAGGTTTCTGTGTGGCCGGCTCATACCACCAGGCCAGCAATGTGAGCCCAATCCGTCCTCCTTGCTCACCCTGGTACTTGCGCCTGTAGAGGGAGACAGCCGACGCATGGGCGAGCAGGAGGTGGTGGGCGACGACGTACGGCTCCGTCGTGGAATTGCCACGGGTGCAGGGGACGCCCCCGAGTCCGAATGGGTAGGAGCAGCGGGGCGGCGGGAGGTAGCCCTGGTCGTAGCCGCCGAGGGGCTCGATGTTGGGCTCGTTCACCGTGCTCCAGCCCTTCACCCTGTCGCCGAAGCTCCTGAAGCACACGTCTGCGTATGCGGTGAAATCGTCGCTGCATATGGCATACCATTGCTTCACACGGTCAGTGAAATACTGAAATCGTCTACAGCGGTTCGTCAGTATTGGAAAAGTTCAGAGTACGTGCATGATTCTCGGACTGAGCAGGCCGTTGTATTCATCCTGGAGAGCCTGGGGAAGGTCGAAGTGATAGAAGGTCACGTGAGGCTGTATTCCTGCGATAGCGATACGTGTAATTACACGCCCAGCCGGAAACCATTCAGAATCAGGTGCCGTGTGGCGTTACCGACAGAAGAGTAGTACAGGAAATGAAGACTCTGTATGTATATGTATGAATGAATGAAATGGAGAGCCTAGATTGATGATGCAACGAGGTAGCAAATGACCATATGTGAGGAGTTCGTCTATGAGGCTGTTGTAGTACTCCAACCCCTTTGGGTTCACAGCTCCACGCCCATCTACACGTGGGAAAACGATACGATGGCTAAGTACACAGTGATAAACAGAAATAAGGATCATGTCCTCTGTGTCTAAGCACTACTGGCACCTGGAATAAGGCCATGTTCGTTTATCTTATAATCCATACTTTTATGTTATTTTTTCAGTCGAAACAATATTTTTCTCTCACAACAAATCAGCCGGAACAATGTTTCGGCTTGTTCAGCGAAGCGAACGGGGCCTAAGCCTTGACCAGGCAATTGAGAACCTGTACGCGTCCAACCCCATGTCATGCATCAGCTTCACATCTTCCTGAAATTACATATATGCATGCATCAGATTCATTTTGTTGTGTCAGTGTTGGTCCTGGAAATGGAAATTTAAAAGGAAAGGAGACGCCGGCCAGGCCTTGTAATGGTGATACTGATCCGCAGCAACATCTCCAGTCGCATGGTCAATCGAATAGCCTACACAGTGCAGGCACAAAATGGAAGTTGGGAGCAAGTTGAGAGCCAATTCATACTTGGGTTTTGTCCGATGTCCAAACCATATACACTTGCATAAAAAAAACATATACACGTAGATATAGAAAGAGAGAATGGTAGCTAACCACTGTGCGTGTATGTGTCCCAGATGCTGGGCTTCTTCCCGTCCTCTGCCCATGCGCCTTCAACCTGCACGAACAAGACTGATTTCAACACCACCTCGGTCACTCACAGGCCATTGCCAGGAACATACAGCAGTACGTACTCCTACCTGGTAAGCCGATGTGCCGGCGCCGAAGACGAAGCCCTCCTGGAAATCACCCCTGGTAATCGCCGCCGCCGCAGAGACGTGCTTCCACAGCAGGGCAGCAAGGAGGAGCAGCAGAGAAACCGAGAGCACACGCGGGCAAGAACCATCGCCACGCGGTCTCAGCTCCATTACAAGAACCATCGCCGGCGGCGTATGTCCGGCAACCCGCGCGCTGCTTGCTTGCTTGCTTCTTCTCCTGATCGGCTTGCTTCGTCTCCCCAGCAGAGCAGACAGAGTGTCGCCGGAGTGAAGCCTGCGTGTGAGGCTACTAAGCAGGGCCAGGCTATAAGTGCGCTGCCGCAAGGCCGTCCACTTACCGACACGTCTCGCTTTCAAGCTGCCACCTCGGTCGGGACTGCCGTCACTGCCTACGCGCGGATCGACCAGAGTCGTCGCGCCTCTTCATCGACAGCATACTGTCTAGGTAAAGTGCTCACCTTTGCATTGACACGGGTCCCAGGGCTATAGATTTCCTAGTCTGCCCTGATCTCCGACGAGGCAACGGCCGGCCAACCTACAATTTTTTATACTAACATAGCACAAGTTGCAGAACCTAATGCCTTCTCGTTCCTTCGTTTCAAACATGTTATAATATTATATTGGTTCAATTTAAAACTAATTAATCTGTAACGTCATCCTCCGTCCCAACATAAACACTTGTTACATTCAAGAGTCAAATTCTTTTAAGTTTGATTTGTTATATAGTAAATAGTAGTCCCCACGTTCCAAATTACAGGAGGTAACGGAGGAGCATCAATATTTATATCTCTAAATAAATTTATTACAAAGACACGTTCCAAGATCTATATAATGATGCTCATTACACACTATAAATATTAGTACTTTTGGCTATATATTTGATCAAACTTAAAAATGTTTGACTCCTCAATAAGCGAGATATGCATTTTATAAGAAAAATAGACATCATGGGCAATTAAGTTTAGGTTTTGATGTTTGATGATCAACATGACCATTTAAACTAACAATGTTTGTTAGTATATAAGGTATAGTTCAAATGGATGCATGGTAGGCTTGGACTTAGGCAAAGTGATGATCCGGATAATTAACACCTCAAATAAGACATTAGAAGCCGTGTTCAAGATCCACAAGACATGCAAGAAGTCCAAACACAAGATAGAAGAAGGCCAGACAAAGACCCGCGAATAAACGGAGTGAGTCGGCTGCTGCACAGCAGCACCGGATCTGTCCGGTCAGTGCGAGGAAGACACCGAACAACACTGTGCCCTGTCCAGCGGGCAGCTACAACAGCAGCACTAAACATGTCCGGTGCAAGGTGCTGGAACACATCGGACTGCTTGGTGTGCACACGAGGAGGACTCCGAGCGCTCAGCAGACTTGTCCGGTGACACACTGGACCTATGCTCTAGAGTGGAGTTCCAGAGATGTTGCAGTGAAGATTGGAGACGGCGACAAGGCTTCGGACCTGTTTGGTGTGCACCGGAAGTAGCACTAGAAGTCAATGGCTAGCTGGCGTGGACATCACCAGACCTATCTAGTGACTGCACAAAAAGCTACAAGAGGTTCCAACAGCTAGATTTGGAGCTGGGGGCTATATAAAGCCCTTGGCTAGCCATTTTGAGGTGTATGGAGCTCAAGGAAGTGTTGTAAGAGTTGAGGCTCATCTCTAGTTGCTCTAGCCATAAAAGTGCTTAGTGTTTCACTCGGGTGATTAGCGTAGGTGCTTTACAAAATGCTTAGATATGTGCTTAGGATAGTTAGACCATCGCTTGGCGCTTGCTCTAGGTTTAGGCCTAGTGTTTAGTGAGGTTTGCATGCCTCTTACCACCCGTTGCTTGCGCGCATCATTGTTATACTCGAAGAGGCTTGTAGTCTTGCGAGAACATATACCAACCGCGTTTCTTGTGTGCCCGCCACCGTGTACTGAAGGAAACAAGGCCCACAATGTTTTAGCTGGTAGCTTGATAGTGAATATGTGGCAGAACCGCTCGAAATAGCACGCTTCCTAAGGCGCTCGTCTTCCATCAGACACTAAGCACCCCGAAAGCTAGCTACATCGAATGGTTCCGTCGAGCGCACCCCAAGAGAGAACTTGAACAATCCACGTTTTTCATCCAGGATCCAATAATGAGTACGGGTTTACAATACTTAGTCCATTTCATACAACAAGAGTTCTCGAAAATACATTATTACAATACCAAGTTTAGAGTGCGGAATTTAAATAGCAGAATTAAAATAAACATCTAACGATAAGATATAAGGATCCATCTGTGCCCACCAGAAGAATCCTCCACACAACAGCCATTCCTCAAGCTGCACTTGCAACAGGGGTAAATAAACGCTGAGTACACAATGTACTCGCAAGACTTACCCGACTAGTGGGAATAATTTTTCGACTCCAACGGATATGATAAACTTTATGGTTTGCTAGGTTTTCTTTTTCAAAAAGTATTACTAGTAGTGAATCCTTATGTATGTTTCTTATTAGCAGTCATTGTAATAGAACCGACCAAATCATAAGAACGTAAGTACAAAAACAATCACCGAAGCGATTAAATTCCTGTACTTAAGCTCCCATAATCCCGGTAGTCCAGAAATCACGAAGGATTTCAACCAACTCTCGACATACAAACCAAGACCGTAGTGATTCAACACAACACAACATCCATTACAACATTTCATAAGTAGCATTCGGATTACATCCATCAGAGTGCGAATAAAATATTACAAACCAGGTTCAAATTTGCGGAAGCAACATAGTTTAGTACATAACTTCATAGTTTCAAATACATTGCCAAGTTTGAGTCATGTCCCACAAAAGCATTATCAGGTACGAGAACTAGTAGAGACCGCGCCCAACGGTCTAGTCTTCATCCCCAGCTGGGAGAAGGCAGTACTTGCAGCAACCAAAGTAGAACTGGTCATCTGCAACAGGTGGGAGATAAACCCTGAGTACGAGAAGGTACTCAGCTAGACTTACCCGTCAAAAACCAGAAATAAAAGACACCAAGGATCATGCAAGGCTTATGAGGTGGGCTAGCTTGACATAGTTGCATAAAAGAGCTTATGATTATAGTAATCAATTTAAACTTAGCATCAAGCTTATCATCATTTACCTGTCCACTAGATTAGCACCTGTACTAGAGCACTCACTTATTAGGAGCAAACAATATTAACCATAGCAGGTATAATAAGGCTGTCATCATCTTATCATCCTTTCTGAACCATTATGTTATTTAGTGTATCTACATTGGAGATAAGCCCGTCAAGTTCTCACTAACCGGGAGAGACGGCGACTCGAATCGAATTACAACTCAGCTGAGGGGGTATTCCTAACTCTCACCCTGGCATACTTAGCAAGGGTAGCCATGGGTCACCCGACTTCTACCGTGTTTAAGCAGGGCTAAGCACTACACGAGCCTGAGCTATATAGGATTCAGGGTATCAATATCTGGACAAGGATTGGATAACCAACGCAGCAAGTGTTTGCATCCAACACCTAAACTTAATGCAACAATATATATATGTAACAATAATACTGTAACTGCATTTCAAAAATTAGGAGGCTTAATATGCTCCGGGGCTTGCCTTTCACAAAGTTGCACGGACGGTGATCCGGGCACTCAACGGCGACCTCGTCTGGCACTTCTTCTGAAGGCTGCACCTCCTGAACTTCCGGTGTCGGCTGCTGCTGCTCGCTCGGTTCCTCGAATTCCAGCAGGGTCACTCGGTACACCTATTGCATGCCGATGCACAAGATAAATATCATGGATGCATAAGGAATGACATGATGCTCATGATGAATGAATCATAGTAAGTGTTTACGAAAACATTACTGGACACTCGTTTACCGATTAAGAATAGCTCTATTCAAATCACTTTAAAACAGGTATCTAACTTAACTTGAAGAACAAGATCAACTTACCTAACTTGCATAACCTAAGATAAAGATGCTCATCTTCAGTTAAAGGCCTAACACCTAGGAACATTACCACAAACTTAGAAATAGTAAAGGCATACTTAAAACAACAGTTAAAGCTTCATATGCAAACGGGTAGTTCCTTAATTCAATCACAACAAGAGTTCTACAAATCCAAATGACTTGCAAGAGGACATTCTGGAAAGCTTATGAAATTATCTACAAATAATTTGTAAACATCAAAGCATGATTCAACCCTTTATCAGGTCGAATTCTTTGATCAACAGAACTCTGTCCTCACAAGACAGAGAGTAAGCAAAATTGGAATCCTGACTTTAAACAGCTGTAGTATCTAAACTACCAGGCCAAATGCCCTCAAATTTTGATAGGAGCTAGATACATAAATTATCCACAACTTTGGTATTCATCACATTCACAGAAAACCAAATTATCATGGGAAACTTTATAAAGTCCCCGGATCTGTCCAGAAGGACATAATGCAACAAGAAATAATTATTAACTTATGTGGGAAACACATAAACAGACAAAACCAACTTTATGACTTTATCACACATATCACAAGAACACCAGAAAGTATAGTGCCAACTTCCAAATAAATTATTTAATATCCTTTTCTAATTTATTCAGTTAATTAGGTGATTAAAGCAATATATAGTAAAGCTGTTCAGAAAAATCTACAAAAATTATAGTAGCTATCTCATGCTTCACATAGACTACCATAAAAATTTCAAGGCCATTGGGTAAGCAGAACTTGCTGTATCCAAAATAATAGGTGGCATGTCTATTTCTAGCATAATTAGGAAACCCTAATGAAAAGTGTCAAGCAACATATTTCACATTGTTCCTAGTATCATTCAAGCATAAGAATAGCACTCACCAAATTTTACCTTTACTGGATCTATAGAAAAATTATGAAAATTCACACAAGATCCATCCATTGATAAAAGGAAATTATATAACTCAAAAACTACACATGCACTAGCTCTAAAATTTTAACCAGAGCTTCTACTAAGCAATAATAGATTACCCACAAAATTTCATAATTTTTGGACCAAAGAAACTCAAGATAAAATTCAAACAAGTTTGCATGCATCTAAAAACACATTTCAAAGTCCTATTTTATTCATCCAAAATTTCTAAAACATGTGCTCATATAATATTTTTATTAAATACTAGACCTTACTAGGAACTCAACAAAATTGGAACCATAACATTTGGATCT